GTCAGGACGTAAAGTATGAGAGAAGAATTTTTTAAAAAAGAAAAAGAAAAAGAAAAGAAAAACACACAGACCAATGAAGCATCACAAAGCCCAGAAATGACCCCATGAATTTATAGTCAATTGAATTATTATTTTATTTTAAAATTAATTTAATTTTACATATCAGCCACGGATTCCCCTGTCTTTCCTCCTCCCACCCCCCAGCCTCCCACCCCCCAATTTGCCCCCCATTCCCACCTCCTCCAAGGCAAGGTCTTCCCTGGGGATTCAGCTCAGCCTGGTACACTCAGCTGAGGCAGGTCCAGTCCCCTCCTCCCTACACCAAGGCTGAGCAAAGTGTCTCAGCATAGGCCCTAGGTTCCAAAGAGCCAGCTCATGCACTAAGGACAGGTCCTGGTCCCACTGCATGGAGGCCCCCTAAACAGTTCAGGCTAATCAACTGTCTCACTTATCCAGAGGGCCTGATCCAGTTGGGGGCTCCTCAGCTATTGGTTCACAGTTCATGTGTTTCCACTAGTTGCTAGAACACAGAGAAAGGATAATCTTTTCAATAAACTGCTGGGAAAACTGGATATCTATAGAGAAGAAAGAATCTACGTTCTTACCAGATACAAACAAGCTCTAAAAGGATTAAAGTCTGAAATGTGAGACCCACAACTAGGAAACTACTAGAAAAAGGCATAGGAGAAAATCTGGGGGACCTTGACTTTGGCAGATATATTTATATATATATATAAAGAGAGAGAGAGAGAGAGAGAGAGAGAGAGAGAGAGAGAGAGAGAGAGAGAACCCTAGAAACACAGAAAACCAAAACAAAAGTTAACAGATTAGATTCCATCCAACTAAAAAGTTTCTTCCTAGCAAATGAAGCCATCAGCAGAACACAGATCTGAATGGCAGAGTACAGGCAGCCGGTAGACCACAGATGACAGCCAACAGAACATGCAAATGTATCTGCAAATTACTTATCTGACAAGAGGCTAATATCCAGAATACACAAGAAACTCAGACAATGTAGTGTCAGAACTCAGACAAGATGGCTGAAAAACTGGCCGGGCGGTGGTGGCGCACGCCTTTAATCCCAGCACTTGGGAGGCAGAGCCAGGCGGATCTCTGTGAGTTCGAGGCCAGCCTGGGCTACCAAGTGAGTCCCAGGAAAGGCGCAAAGCTACACAGAGAAACCCTGTCTCGAAAAACCAAAAAAAAAAAAAAAAAAAAGATGGCTGAAAAACTGGCTTAGGCCCACACCTTCACTGTAAACACAACTTCCTCTTCACCCCTGCCCCAGGCCCGCAGCTGACCCCTGCTGACCCTGCCACCATGATTTCATAACTGTTCTCTCTCCTCCCAATGTCATATCCTGACGTTTAATCCCAGACTATTCCATCATCATGAAGGCCTCGTGCCCTCTCCCTTCTGGCTCCTCATGTCAAGGCTGAAGGGTGTGGCCTGAGCGCAGAGCCCTCTCTAGTGAGTTGTAAACCCAAAGGTCAAGACTGAGTTTGCGCCTTAGGCAGGTACATCCCACCCAGTCTCCAAATTCGATGACCCTAAGAGCTTCTTTTTATTCCATTTTGACTCCTCAATCAACTCTTCTAAAATTGAGATATAATACCTACTTAGGGGATGTTGGAAGGACCAGGAGAGGAAGTGGAGAGAGATCCTTAACACAGCGCAGCTGGGGTGTGACTGAAGGGAGAAATGAGGGTATGGAGAACACTCATGTCAGACTACGTGGAGGAGACCAAACCACCACCTTCACTTCTGTTTTAAAGTTTACAGTTTTAAAAACCACGCTGCTTTTCTCACCAAATGCATTTTCCTACCTTTCTGCTTTACATGCAGCACACACACCCCCTCCCTCTCTCCTCTGTCAGCAGCAAGCCATAGCCACGCCACTAGGGATGAGGGGAAGTTTTGGAATCCTCAAAGCTCCCCCTCATGATACACCTCCTCCAACCATGAGTCTATGGAAGCATTCTCCATCAAGCCACCGAAGGAAGGACATTTCTTTGGCCTCATGGTTTGAAGGGATTCAGTCCATCATAATGGGGAGACAGTGTGGCTGGGTGTCTTGCATCTCTCTGTAGCAGGAAGCAGAGAGATGAACTCCGGTGCTCAGGGGGTTTCCTTGGTCGCCTCCCCCCTTTCACTCCACCCGGTCAACTGCCTTGTCTTTAAAGGTAGCTCTTCCCTCCTCAGCTGAACTTCTCTTATGATACCCTCACAGAGTCACGCAGAGCTAGGTTTTCTAGGTGGTTCTAAAGTCTAGTCAAGTTGACAATGAAGGCTGAACATCACATGAGCATTTGCAGATTCAAGGAAGAGCGGACTGTGGAAAAGCCTGTAGGAGAGGAAAGACTTTGGGTTTGCTGTGGTTGAGGGCTCTTGGCACGGAGAGGTTAGAGAGAGGATAACTAGATGTGAGGCATCCTAGGCAATTGGTTTGGATAACATATTTATCCTTCTCTAGTTGTTTCTGAGCTGGAAAGGGGAACAAAAATCAAGGACGCTCAGTAACCATGTTCTGTCATCTGGTGACACCTGCAACCTTGGTAGTTTGGCTTTCTGAGCTGGCTGGTACAGCAGATGCAGGTCAGAGTCTGCTGTCATGTGGTCTGGCCACCATTCACTTGAATGTCCAGATATCTGATATGAAATGTTGAGAAGACAGGGTACAACCAGAACTGTACCCCCCACATGAATGACTCAGTACTGTGTGGTCATAAGTGTTGAAAGTCCTGAATGACTTCAGGATCAAGTCAGGACTAGGGAGTGGGAGAGAAGTCACTGTGAAAACAGAACACTTCTTGCTAACACGATATCATCTCAGAGAGTGGCAGTTACTTGTTCAGAGGAGACCTCAGACCTATGCTGGATGATGTCTTTGCAGTGGTTTTTCAAAATAGATCACAAACTGTAGGAATCACTAGATACTTTTGTTACTGACACAGAATCATATCAAAGGCCCACTAAATCTGAGCATTGCTGTGTATGATAGACGACTCTTTTAAGAAATATTTGTGGAAGGAGTGTACATGCTGGACCAATAGGTGAGTTAGATGACCTCTGTGTGTGATTTCTTCTGCTCTGTGAGTCATGTATTCTAGCTTATTATACTGTAGTCATAGCCAGGAAACAAGCCATTCATTTGTTTATTTAATAATATCAATGGGGTAGATTCTTTTATTCCACAGTCAATGTTGGGCCAGTATGTGAATTCCACTGGCTTGTTGTATTCCTATATGCCAAAGAAATGTCAATGAAAAAGCTCTTTTATCACCACAGAGGTGTACTGAGCGCTTGCAACTCACCATGTCCTGGAGCACTTTCCACATGAGGGAGCACTTCCCACATGAGGGAGCACTTCCCACATGATGGAATACTATCTACATGCTAGGGTACTCACCATATGCTGGAGCATTCCCTCTGTGCTGGCGCGTTGCTCTGGCTTGTGGTGAGACAGTGATGAGCAAGACTGACAGCTCTTTCTTTCCCAGAGCCTATACTAACAGAAAGAAAAGAATCTTATTGACACTAGGGAGTAATATAAGTAGGTATGAAAAGACAGTGTGAAAAGGAAACACCATGGTTCTGTTCTTCTCCACATCGAGACTCCAGTTCAGTTACTCAGGCTCTCTACAGAAGAAATGGCATACTTCCTTTCCTTAGGTTTAAGTTTTAAATAAAAATTGAAAAAGCCTTTGGGCCTTAGTCTGGTACTAACATGAGAAGGCTTCAGAACAACACTTTGTACTTGGCCCCTCTCTAACGTCAAGGCTGGTGAATGTCCTGGATAAACTAGAGACACAGCACTGTGCAGACTGTGCTGGGCAATTGGGGAAACACAGGATTTGGGGGGTTACCATGGTCAGTACCATAGATTTTAAGTCAGTTCTTATCGAAAGGACCTGTTTTCACTTCACGGTACAAGGACTCCACAATGGGAAGCTGAGGCCTGGGTCTGACCCTTCTGCAGATGAACTATGTGACCGTGGACCTGACTGATGTCCCAGGGTGTCTCTGTCAAACCTCCTTGAGTTATGACAGACGTCTGTGTGTGTCATTTTCAATTGTTGGATCCCTAAGCACTTAGCATTTGTTCAGAATTACCATATCCCCTAGAATTAGCATATTCTAAAAAGACTGTGCTTGTTAAATTTGGTTTGGTTTCAGTTTGGGTTTTGTGGGGGTTTTGTGTGTGTGTTGTTTGGTTTGTTGGCTTTTTGTTTTTTAGTTTTTTGTTTGTTTTTGTTTTTGTTTTTAAGATAAGTGTCTGGAACTCTTATATAGCCTGACTGACTGCCTGGGAATCCTTTTGACTCTACTTCCTGAGTGCTAGGATTATAAGTGGGTAACAAGATTTTTTTCTTTTTAGCTAAGTATAAATGTACTGTGCTAGCTAGTCTTATATCACCTTGACACAAGTTAGAGTCATCTGAAAGGAAGGAACCTGAATTGAGATCCTCCATAAGATCTGGCTGTAGAGCATTTTCTTAATTAGCGATTGATAGGGTGGGCCTAGGCCATTGAGGGTGGGGCCATCCCTGGGCTGGTGGTCCTGGGTTCTATAAGAAAGCCGGCTGAGCAAGCCAGTAAGCAGCAGGTAAGCAGCAGCAGCCGCCCCATCCACCCCCACCCCCGCCCCCGCCCCATGGCCTCTGCATCAGCTCCCACCTCCAGGTTCCTGCCCTGCTTGAGTTCCTGTCCCAACTTCCTTCATTGATGGACTACAATGTGGAAGTGTAAGCCAAATAACCCCTTTCCTCCCCAGCTTGCATTTTGGTCATGGTGTTTCATCGAAGCTATAGAAATCCTGACTAAGACAGGTGCTATCATCTCTGAAGTTACCTTTTTTTTTAAGGGATTAACGTGCAGCTTTGAGGCTTCTTCCTACTTGAACCATTTGAGGAAGCCATGCAGCTGCAGAGAGTGAGGCAAGAATCCCTCTTGCCCCATCTTAGTCTTCTGAAACTATCTCACTTTTCCACACGCACCAGAGCTTCTCCTTGTGAAGCGGAGCTTCAAGAACTGATGGAACAAATTGACATCATGGTGAGCAACAAGAAGTTGGACTGGGAAAGAAAGATGCGGGCTTTAGAGACGCGGTTAGACCTTCGGGATCAAGAGTTGGCCAATGCACAGACTTGCTTGGACCAGAAAGGACAGGAGGTACTGAGCACACATGTCACCAAAGTATTCACGCGCCAAACTCGCTTGTCACTTACAATTCTGTCAGCACATTTGGGGTTAAATGTATGCTATCGAATCGATGCAGAGACTAAATCAGGTATTTACTGATGGAGACACTCACTACATCAGTGCTGCCAATAAATGTAAACAGACATTTAAGGTACATGTGAAGTAAGAGTGTTTGGAAACAAAGATAAAAATGCTTTGGCTCCTCCAGGAGCTCTGCCATAGAGACCAAAGCTGTCTTTGTTCAGGAGAGGTCAGGAGCGTTGACTGCTTCTGATCTGCAAGAAAATGTTTTGTGAACAAGCATATCAAGAGTTAATTGCCAAAGGAGAGTGCATTTGGTGAAAGTGTATGTGTGCACATGCATGTATGTTCTCATGTGTTCGTGGGTATGGGTGGGTGTGTATGGGTGTGTGGGGGTATGTTCTCCTATGTGTACATGGGAAAGCTCTCCAGTCAGGAATCACACGTCATCACAGAAGTTTTCATCAGCCACTCTCTGCCTCTGTGGACTTCTGGATGGCACTTGGTGTTTGCAAAGCCAAGGGCGTTGGTGTTTCACAGGTGGGCATGGCTCTGGTTTCCATCCGCAGGTCCATTGGTCCTGGCGTAGGCAAGGCCCTGCAGTGACACAGGTGTGTAGTAAGTACGTGTCTCGTCTGCATTTAAACAGAATCATTCAAATCCTTAACAAGTGCTCTTAGACGTGTTTATTTTCTCATTAATATGTTAGTTCTTATAAAATGTGACAATCATCCATAGACCACCAACCAGACTGGTAAGAAGTGAAACCTAACCAAAAGAAAATCCTTTGGTTACATTAGCAGAAGTTTTACATGATAACGGCCTCCCAAAACAGATCATACAGAGTGAATTCTAAATCTTAATTTAAATTGCAGCCATGCCAAGGATCTCTTGATAAACACACTTCCATGCTGCCCTAATACATGGCCGGTGGACCGGCTAGAGACATTTGGTGTCTGCGAATTCAGTTATTAGCAGCTATTTTAAGAACTGCAGGACAAATGTTTACTCCCGGCTCAGTGCAGCAGCTTAACTTGGATTGCACTTCTCCTTTGCACATTTTCTGATCTTTTAAGGTAAAATTCAGAAAAAGCTAATTTAAAGTTTGTTCTTAATGCAGGTGGGGCTACTTCGACAGAAGCTGGATAGTCTAGAAAAATGTAATTTAGTAATGACTCAGAACTATGAAGGACAGCTACAGACCCTAAAAGCTCAAGTAAGACAACCTGTTAAGTGTAATGTTACATACTTTGATACATGTTTTGACCGGTAAAAGTGTTAACTTTTTTTTAAAAAAATGTTTTGTATATAAGCAAATGTTCTGTGTCTTAATTGCATGTTTGTCTCTGGCTTTCGTTATCTTCTGTGTCCTGATTTGTCCCCCTGACGAGGCTGTCACCTCGGATACCGTCTGCACTGCCTTCGCTGTGACAGGACGCTAGACCGATAACTCTCTGTCTCTCCAGGGGCAGTTTTTTAATGGTTACTAGTTATGAGAACAAGAAAAAACAAAATTCTCCCCTGTGGTTATTTCTGGGAATAGAGTTTCTTCCACGGCAGCCTAAAATATGGGTGCTTGCTACTATGAAGTGAGCAGCTGAAAGAACCAAGTTGGGCTTGCTACTGATGGGCTGTTCATAAATGGCAGTGCCTCTGCATATGCCATAGAGGGGTGCCAGTTTCTTTGTCCCCCATCACTGCAGCTCCCCACTAGGCTTGCCTCAAAGTCTTGTCTCCTACCATAGATGCCTCTTAGGGCAGGTGTCGGCATCACAGGCCCAGCAGCTGCTGAGGTCCTTAACCTAGCAAAGGAGTCAGTAGGGAATGTGGTGGGATTGTGAACTCCGACCACCAATGTTTCTTGGAAAGCAAAGATTTTATATGTAATAACCTAGTTAAGGGGGCCTGGAGTATTCAGTGTTCCTCCTTAAGTGCCTTTTCTAGAAAGGGGATTCAGCTATTAAAAATGGAATAGAAAACATTTGAAGCCATTTCTTAACTGCTATTACAAAATATTTCAGACTAGCTAAGTCTACATTTTGCCTGCAATTCAGGCTTCTGCCACTAGAAGGCAGCTTGTACTATGAAGCTGCATACAGTTTTCTGAGCTGAGACCAGAAGCATCTAAAACTTGATGCAATCAGTCTTGGCTTTTTTTTTCCTCCTACAAAAATAGCAACACAAATCTGAATTCACTCTGACAGTCCAGTGTGGGTATGTTTGATACTTCTGGAGAGCTAGACCAGCTGTGTGTTTCTCTATCCTCCTAAGCACAGTTGAAAGCCCTGGACGTTGTAAGACAGCCTGTGAACTTGGTAGAAAGTAGGGAGAAGAGGCCGGTTGCTTAGGGGCCTTGAGAGCCACCACAGTGCATCAGTGAGCTCACTGGGATTGTTTTAGCATTGTCACACAGCTCAGACATAGTACTGGGTGCAGACAGACTAACAGTGGCAGAGCCCAAAGGAAATCCTGTCGTCTATAGCAGAAAGACCAAGAAAGTAGCAAAACTACCAACACAAAAACTCTCAAAATTAGCCAAGTACCACAGAAAAATAACTATGGCCCTGGCCCAGCAACAACACTGAGTAGGAAACCTAGATTTCCACCCTCTCCCAGACAGAAGCCCCTGCCCCAGGCTGCCTGCCTGAGTGGTGTCAAGAAGACCAAATGTGGAGCCTGGATTTCTACAACTGCCTTGTGGTAGGTCATAAGACACTCCACCCCCGCTGCTGAGAGTAGTGTCAGAGGAAGCCTCTGAAAGCAGCAGCAAGGTGAAGATTCACCTCATCGCACCCCACACGGCATCGCTGAAGTCTGTATGCAGTAATCGGTACCCATGCCCTCCAGTCAAGTGCAGGCAGCATCCTCAGAACTCCCCTTCCTCCCGGCTGCAAGGAGGGGCATTTGCCCTGGTACCTGGACTTCCACTGCCGCCCAGCAGGAGCCCTGGCCTTCCATCTCCCCTGCTCCAACATAGTCAGGAGACAGTCTCGAGACACAGTGTCCCCAAATTTCCAGGTTCCCAGAGAGAATCACTCACAGTAACAAAACAAGATTTCAATGTAAAGGAGAATACAGGATCAGCAGATGCCAATGACACCATTAGAATAATCTGACTAGGACTTTGAAGCAATGGTCATGCAAGATGATGCAATGAATATTTGCAAACATGCTTGAAATTGATAAAAATTATAACATTCTAGCCAGGTAGTGGTGCCACATGCCTTTAATCCCAACACTCTGGAGGCAGAGGCAGTCAGATCTCTGTGAGTTCAAAGCCAGCCTGGTCTACAGAGAGAGTTCCAGGACAGACAATGCTGCACGAAGAAACACTGTCTCAAAACACACACACACACACACACACACACACACACACACACACACACACACACACACCATTCTAGCAAAGAAGTTAAAATATCGAAAATAATTATAAACTTTATAATTGAAAACTAGAATAATCGAACTGAAAATTTCAGTGGAGGGTCTCAGAAGCAGAACGGAGAATACAAGAGGTAAGGAACACTAAAGGGCACAGACCTGAGGGACATGGGGCTTCACAACAAACCATTAAAATCCCAGGAGAAAAGAAAAAGAGGATAAGGGTGGACAAAATGCCCCCAAATTTGACCAAAGTGTCACCAAGCTGAGTGAACCTCAAACAGGATAAACCCAAAGAAATAAACAGTGAACAACCTCAGAAGCATTTGAAAGAAACAAGTCCTAAAGAGGAGAAAAGCAGCTCGGGTAGCAGTGACCTCTCATGGGAGGGGCAGAAGGGTCACAAGTGCCGAGAGAGCTGAACTGTCTGGGATTCCATCCAAAGAAAATATCCTTCAGGAGTGATGGGGAAACCAAGACACAGTCAGAGGGGGGAAACACTCAAGCCTCTGTTAGAGGTCGCGTTACCTTAACACAATGGCTACCGGAAGTTCTTTACAGGCACCAGGAAGACATCTGGTATAAAATCCTGGGTCCCTGGCCACAGGCTTTCCTTCTGCTCTTGAGTTTTGCTAATTGTTTGATTTAAAATTTTTTAAATGTCTAATGTAGTTTCCAGTGTATGTAGCAAAAATATGTAATTTTTTTGTTTATAATCGAGTCAGGATGAAAAGAAAATAAGGATCCCACATTTGAACTAGAGAAATATCAGATACCTGCAGACTGCAGCAAGCTGTGTGTATTTAACCTGATGCTTGGAGGAATGGCTGAAAAAGATGTGAAAAGACACACTCAAAACTATCTACAACTCACAGTGCAGCCTTAAAAATACCCCCGTGAGCCATGGGAAGACAAGAAAATAAAACCAAACTGCAAGCTAGAGGAAGCCAGAAAACAAAACACAAGAAGCCAAGCTTAAGTTGAGCATATCCATAATTATATTTAACAAAAATGGCCTAACCACACAAATTAAAGAGTGCCAGATATGTAAAAACAGGACCCAGCTCAACGAGCTGTTCAGAGAATTCCCTTCAAATATGATTATACAGGGAGGTTGAAAGTAAAAAGACAAGACAAAACTACAGCATGCAGTGTTTAAGAAGTGAAAGCAGGTGTGCCGCCATGATTCAGCAGAGGAGATTAGCCCTTCAACAAACACACAGGGACTGCTCAAGAACACGCACCCTGAGTCTGTCAGCAACGGCTTAGCTACCTCCGTAGCTAGTTCAACACAAAGATAGTCAGTGGGTACAGTGAACAGACTCTCTGAAATCTCCTCAGATGCTACGATATGATGCTATAGACGTACATGAAAGTATGAGCCGGCTGTTATACCAACTGAGTTGTTGAGATTAAAGTTGTCAACACAAGATGGCATTAAGTAAAAGTAAGGAAAATTGTGGGTTTCTTTTTTTTTAGACTGTCAGCTTTGCTGCCTACGTACACTTAACACAAAACTGAACAAAACATTTATCAAGTGAGTCATGGGCTCACCGCACAGTTAATGAAGGCCCAGATTCATGTGCACAGAGTAGAGTCACGCTCGGCCTCAGTAACTGAGTTTTAATAGCAGGTTCCATCCTCACTAATTGGAACATTTAAGTTTTACTGCACTTTCTAATCATGACTTAACGTTTTCAAAGAGCTGCGCGACAAAGAAATGTTATGAAGGCCAGCTGTAAGTAACTGGTACTATTTCGTATCGTTTGCAGTTTTCTAAGCTAACCAATAACTTTGAGAAACTGAGATTACACCAGATGAAGCAAAACCAAGTTCACCGAAAGGAAGCCCCCAGCAAAGAAGAAATACCCTTTGAGCTGAGCAGTTTGAACCAGAAGTTAGAGGTGAGCACACATCGCCAGTCCTTGTGTTCTGAAGGTGGTTTGCTGGAGGCGTGGACTCCAGGCACATGGCACTCAGTATGGTCTCTCAGTGCACCTTCCTCTTCAGGAACTTGGTGAATTCAAAAATGACTATGATTTATAAGACACACACACACACACACACACACACACACACACACACACACACACACACACTGGGAAAGCTAAGAAAAATACAAGTACAAAGACTGCAGCTGTTGAGTGAAACTGAAGGGCACCCTGGGGTCAGTTAAATCAAATACCTACTAAATCTTTTAATGACCATTTAACTATTAGTGTGCTAAATCTCAGTGAGCCTCAGGCCTGTTTCAGAACAGGGCCTGAAGGCCCAGGGATTTCTGTTTTGTTTTCTCTTCTGTAAAGGCCTAATTCCAGTCCTTTTAAATTGTGGCCTGTCACTGAGAACTTCTAAAATCCATCTCTGAAAAGGTTCCGTATGCTGCCAGGACCTTTATTCCCACCCTTTTAACATCACAGCTTTAGAAAACGCGAACCAGCTCTTTCTTCCTGTGCTCCTGAGAACCCTTGTGGAAAATCCGGAAGGGATGGTGTCTCCGTGAGCCCCTGACATCTGGCTTTCTGGGGCTCCAGCACAGCTTAGGGGTCACTTTCTCCTTAACCCTTGTGTTTCCCTATTCAGTTTCTTTCATTTTCCTCAGGTCCTAAGCCGAGCAACCCATCCCCAGCCAACAGTCTCATTTTCTCCTACTCATGAGCTCAGGACCATCCTGCATCTCTGAGGGACCAAGGTCAGAGACAGTTTAGGGATCTTTGGCCTCTCTCGTCCTTGTCATGCTCCAGCTGGATCTGCCCTTGACCTTCTTCCTGTCTCCTTGTCTTCAGACATCACCACCTTACTCTGCTCTTTTTTTTCTAACTCCTGCTCCAAAATCTCTGTAAAAGCAGAGAGAATCGCAGTTTGAGATCACAGCCACGGAACTAGCCGGTGTGGTAGAAGGCCTGGGGCTTACCTTCAAGGCTCCACAGATTCCCCACCTTGCTGGATAAGATAGAGTTCTTCAGATATAAAGCCACTGTCACCCAATGAAGGGCACTCAGGAAATCCTGACACCTGCTCCCTGCCTCTCAAAGGGTGTGACTGGCCTCTCAGAGGTGTCAGACACAGGCTCTGGAGAACTCGCCCTCTTGACATGAAGGTCAGAACACCCACTGTCCATCTGGTTGGTTCTTTGTGGGCTGATAGAGGGGAACCACATTCATATACTTGTTTCTGACAACACGCATCCTCATGAATATGTTTATACTTATGCAAGAGTTTTAAGTAGACACAGTATAACTTGAATGATTATAAGCATGTAACATAGCTGTTTTTCTTCAGCCATTTGGAAATAGCATGCAGGAGGATGGCTGTTCTTGTTTTCGAGCATGTAGCATGTTCTCCATTAGGACAAGCGCATTCAATGCTATAGTAATGTCACTAGGGGCAGTGTGTGTGTGCAGTCGGGGAGCATCATGGCTTATTACCCACAGCATCCCCTATGTTGCTCATCGATTCATGTTAGCCTCAGACGTTCCATCTTTGATCAGTAAATTAGGCCGGTGGGGCTGGGGGACAGTTCAGTCAATAAAGTGCTTGTCTCACAAACACAAGGACCTGAGTTCAAGTGCCAGACTCTAAGTCTGGAAGCTGGGCATGGAGGTGCACACCTGTAACCCAGCATTAAGGAGCCTGAAACGGATCCCTGGGCACACTGGCCAGCCAGCCTAGCCTAGTCCCTAAGTTCCAGGCCAAGTGAGACACACAGTCAAAATCCAAAGTGAACAGCTTCGAGGGATGACACCTGAGGCTGCCCTTTGACCTCCAAATGCATGAGTTCAGAAAGTCCCCTTAGAACACTTCAACAGGTAAGAGCAAGAAATGAGACAGAACGTTAATGTGGGTAAAGATCACATGGTTTTGGTTATTCTCCACTTTTATGTAAGTATGAAAAAATTCCTAATCAAAACTTAAGGTCATTTTGTGATTTGTAGTCTCACTGATACATCACTTGACACTGTTACTCAGGGTTCAGAACTTGTTGTTTAAAAGGGCTCTTTTAAACAACAACAACCAAAAACTAACACCGCAGGTATCACCAGAAATACTCATTTTTATGATCATGACCCACTCTCAACCTAAGTGGCTCAGAGATGGCTTTGTAGTCTTAAGAACTCCCCCTGGAGGGCTGGGTGACTCTCCTAACCTTGAAAGCCATACCTCTGATTAATGAAGGACCCTGGACTGTATCAGTACCCACTGACAGGTCGGTAACACTGTCTAGCCATCCTAGACCTCATCGATGCCTGTTTTAGCCCTTATAAGCTAAGTTAATGGTACTGCCTCCCCATAAAGCATTCTGGGGGAATATTTAAGATTATTTGTGGATGTTAAGTAGGTGATGATAAGCACATTTATTATCTAAAAGATATTTTCTAAACTGGGCATATGGGTCATACCTCTAATCTCAGCACTTTCGAGGCGAAGGCAGAAGGATCTTGAGTTCAAGGCCAGCTTGGGCTGAACAGTGAGATGCTATCTGAAACATTAAAAAGAGGAAAACATATTTACTGTTTAAGCCAATCTTATTCCAATTTTTGCTATTTTCCCCCAAAGAGTTCTTTTTAAATTAAAAAAAAATTAATTCCTAAAGTTAGCATACAAAATAATGGGTTTCCTCATGGCATCATCATAAATATTAAAACCAAATTCTTGAAATCTAAACTTGCATTGATTTTTAAATGTTTCTTATCCTCTATTTGTAACCTAATTTTTCAAATATGTAACTGCTACTGAAGACTCATTCTTAATTTTTACATCATTGAGTGGCAAAAATCAGTCCATAAATGGACTGTCCCCATTATCCTAATAAATAGAGTTTGTCATAAGGTGTCTTTATGCATGTAGACGGCGAGGTGTGTGCCTGCATTTCCCCAGGCAAATTCCCTCCACTTGATTTCAGATTGCCTTTAATTACATATAGTCTTCCTCACTCACAGACCTCCTTCACTGATTAGGACTTGTGTATAAAAAAAAAAACACACAGACACTTAAATTTTCCCAAATATTCTTCAAAATCATTTCTGTGCAAGGAATCTGAAAAGCGCCGTTTTTCTCATTCTAAGCAAGATACAGTTTGCATTCTCAGAATCAACGGGATTCCTTTCAAGCATAGCCCAGCCAGGCCCTGCAGCCATTTTCAAAATACTCCAGCCAAACACGCCGTGTTCCAACTTGACATAGTAGGAAAAATATCCCCGTGGCTTTTATGTGACACCTTTATCATACTTGTGTACTGTAAATGGCTTGTTTATATGTGCATGCTGCTCCTTTACTATATTTTCCTTTAAAAGTGGGGCAGGGACTTAGTTATGAAATAGTTCCAAACAAGGTCCTGTAAGCAGAGCTCGGAGCAGGCAGTCTTCCAGGCTAGTTTTCTCAAGCCTGGGTAGAAAGGCACACTGCAGGGGCCAGCCCCGCCAGAGTGAGATGCAGGGAGGTCTTCTCTGGCACCCCGAAGCCATGTCCATGGCTCACAGGGTTGCATTGTGCCGTTGTGCTCCACACTGCGTTACCTGAGTCGGCGCTGTGCAGCTAAGCATGCAGTATCCAGCTAGTCCCACATTTTCTTCCCCAACTGACACGTGGGAATGAAGGCCAAGATGTGTTCTCTGTTCCCCAAATGATGTTAGCTTCACCCTATACACAATGGCTTTGAAAGCCAGAGGAGGCCAATAAAACCAACATTAGCTCAGGCTACTTTAGCAGAATGCAGAGGCTGTGTAGCTTACACAAAGGTCCAACAGGGCGAGATGCTGATGGGGGCCTCCTCTTGGTTCAACAGCTGTCTGCTGGTTGTACGGCAGGAAATAGGAGGAATGGGAGGGGGTGATTCTTACCTTTGTTGGGGATAGGTGTGTGCGTTCATGAGAATCTGTGCGTGTGTGGAAGCTGCAAATCATTATCAGGTATCTTCCTCATCTCTTTCTACTTTACTTTTCTGAGATAGGATCTCTCACTGAGACCCTATTTGACTAGAATGGCTAGGCCAGGATCCTCCTGCCTCTGCCTCCCCAGCACAGAAATTATAGATGGGCACCGATATACCATCCAGAATTTTTTTTTTTTTTTTTGGTTTTGGTTTTGGTTTTTCGAGACAGGGTTTCTCTGTGTAGCTTTGCGCCTTTCCTGGAACTCACTCTGTAGCCTTGGCGGGCCTCGAACTCACAGAGATCCGCCTGGCTCTGCCTCCTGAGTACTGGGATTAAAAGCGTGTGCCACCACTGCCCGGCCCATCCAGAATTTTTATACAGTGGGTGGGGATTGAACTCAGGTCCTTGTACTTGCACAGTGAATGCTTTACCAGCTGAACATCTCCCAGACTCCTGCCTTTCTCTCTTCCTTCCTCCTTCCTTCCCTTCTTTCTTTCTTCCTTCCTTCTTTCCTTCCTTCCTTTTCTTCTTCTTCTTCTTCTTCTTCTTCTTCTTCTTCTTCTCCTCCTCCTCCTCCTCCTCCTCCTCCTCCTCCTCCTCCTCCTCCTCCTCTTCCTCCTCCTCCTTCTTCTTCTTTGTGCGTGTACGCGCGTGTGTGTGTGTGTGTGTGTGTGTGTGTGTGTGTGTGTGTGTGTGTGATTTTTTTGAGACAGAGTTTCTCTCTGTATCCTTGGCTGTCCTGGAACTCACTTTCTAGACCAGACTGACCTCAGACTAAGAGATCTGCCTGCCTCTGTGCCGGGATTAAAGGTGTGCACCACCGTGCCCAGCCTGACCCCAGTATTTCTTAATCTTATATCACAGGAACACTAATCCAACCCACACTGGCTCCAGAGTCATAACTCAATAGCCTCCCAGAGGCTCAACTTTCAATTTCATTACAGTGAGCATTCGGTTTCAACATATGTAGTTAAAAGAGGCACAAACACTGAGTTCATGGAACTTGATAAATAGGCATCTTTTTAAAGAATTATGTTTAATTATGGGGGTATATACCTGTGAATGCTGATGCCTGCTGAGGCCAGAGGTGGCAAATCCCCTGCAGCTGCGGAGTCCTCTGCAGAGCAGTACAGGCCTTTGATCACTGAGCATCTCTCCAGCTCCTAGACCCGCCTCTTAAGTAATGAAAGAAAATGTCCATTGACAAAGTGTAGGGAATGAAAAAAAGAGGAGCATCCGAGGAGTGGATGGGAGGTGCCAGCTGTTGCCAAAGGCTGTCCGACTCCCCTTGTTAGCACTCGCCCTTTGACATATGAGAGATCAGTGCTTTCAGTATGTTTCTGGTTTCTATGTATGTTAAAAATTGTATAATTTCCTCAAAAAAATAGAATACACAGGTTAAGCACACCTCTTCTGAAAACTTAAAATCCCCAAATGCTCCAGAATCTCAGGCTTTTTGAGCACTGACACAATGCCACAAATCATATGGGTGGCCACAGCAGGGCTATATTAAACACAGCACACAATGTCCCCTTTTGGCAGAGTACACACAGGGTGTGTGGAACACATGAGTGTGTGTTTAGACTTAGATGGCGTCAGCAAGGCATCTCAGTATGACTATGTAAATAATCCAAAATCTGAAATGCAGCTCCCCGGTCCAAGTGGTTCAGATGCAGAACACAGAGTCGTAGTAATCAATCAATGTGTAATTCCATCTTTTTCCTGTTTGCTTTCCTAATAGGTAAAGAACAGACCTTTTCTTCTCCCAATGAAGACACACAAAGGGAAGAAGCCCTGTGTATTGTACTTTCAGTGAATAATAATTTTCAATTTGTTTCTCTCCCCCTTCCCTATTCCAAAAGGAGTTTAGAGCAAAGTCAAGGGAATGGGACAAACAAGAGATCCTCTACCAGACCCACCTGGTGTCTTTGGATGCTCAACAAAAATTACTATCTGAAAAATGTAATCAATTTCAGGTAAACTATTATTATTGTCTGAATTGGAAAACATAAGTAGAGGTTAACTACTGCCATCCTTGCATTCAGTATGGCATCTACTTACTCATGGAAATGTGGACTGAGGGACAGCTGCCATCGTGGGTCTGGCCACAGCATGACCACGTACACAGCCCTTTGTCACCGGTATTTTAGCCTCTGTGTCTGAAAGTCTGGTGCTGTTATACCTTTAAACAACATATGCTCTCAGGCAGTTTGGTGAAACCCCAGTAATTCCTGCACTTGGCTGCCAAATGTAGGAAGGGCATGAGTGTGAGGCAAGCCCCCACTGCTTAACAGGACTCTGACTCACTGAAAAAAAAAAAAAAAGGAAAAAGGAAAAAACAAAATAGATGTCCGTATGGTTTGTTTTACGTGTCCGTACCACCTGTGAGGCCGAACATGGCCTCATGCCCTTGTTAGCACCTTTCACTCCCTCCTCTCGACATTACACCCCACGCTTCGGCATTACACCCCACGCTTCGGCATTACACCCCACGCTTCTTCGGCATTACACCCCACACTTCTTCGGCATTACACCCCACACTTCTTTGGCATTACACCCCACACTTCTTCGGCATTACACCCCACACTTCTTTGGCATTACACCCCACGCTTCGGCATTACACCCCACACTTTGTGCATCCTGCCTTGCGTAACTTGCTTTTCCTTTGAGATGTAGAGGTTGCACACATCAGGAATTACTAAAACCAGTTATGTGTTGGCAACTGTTTTTTCCTCAGTCTGTTTCTGGTTTTTATTTCTTTACCCCAGAGACATTTTTCAACTATTATGTGATTGAATTAATATTTTTTCTCTTTTTATAGCTTCTAGATTTTCTTTATTGGTTAATAGGACCTCTCCTCCTCCAGATTCCTTCCGTGCTCCAAAGCAAATACATTTTCTCTTCATATGATTGAAATTAAGATTATAAACAAGCATAGCACTGTACTGTACAAGCCAAATTTAATACTAAAAGATACCTTTACCAATTCTTTTACTTCTTTGCCTGTTTGGAAGCTTAAGTATGATGTTATTCTCCCAATTTACCTGATTATCATACTTTCAGAAACAGGCACAGAATTACCAAACTCAGCTAAACGGTAAGAAGCAATGCCCGGAGGACAGCAGCCCTGAGATCCCTCGCCTGGTGTGTGAATCCGATCCTGGCTGTGAAGCCAGCCAAAGAGATGAGTTCATTATTGAAAAGTTAAAGTCGGCCGTGAGTGAGATAGCCCTGAGCAGGAACAAGTTACAGGATGAGAACCAGAAGCTTCTGCAAGAGCTAAAGATGTACCAAAGGCAATGCCAGGTGAGGTCTGCAGCAGAGGTGGTTCCAGGTGAGGGTCTACAGCAGAGGTGGTTCCAGGTGAGGGTCTGCAGCAGAGGTGGTTCCAGGTGAGGGTCTGCAGCAGAGGTGGTTCCAGGTGAGGGTCTGCAGCAGAGGTGGTTCCGGGTGAGGTCTGCAGCAGAGGTGGTTCCGGGTGAGGGTCTGCAGCAGAGGTGGTTCCGGGTGAGGGTCTGCAGCAGAGGTGATTCCGGGTGAGGGTCTGTGCTTTCGGCTCCATTTCCAGCTGTTGTTGGTGAGCTGCACAGACGCTGGCCTGACAGGGATAGGGACAGTCACAGGACAGCTTTCTGTTGCACTTTCAGCTGAAGTCAGCGCTCCCCTCTGTAATTCTCACCTGAGTAAATTCAGTAATCCTGTGGGTGTGTTAGTGTCCGGAGTCTTGTAGCACAGTGACAGTGTGTATTATTACCAGTGCATCGGGACAGCAGCCTTGGTACCCCAGTGGCTACCCACCACCTTCCCCTCCGGTCTTATTTGCAGGTTTAGACTTTGGCGGGAGGCATGGAGCTTCTTTGATTTATGGCTGGGAGCCCACGTCTGCCCACTCTCCACCATTTTGCAAAGCACTCTAGGTAAACAGTGAAGACTAAAGGTTCCTTTAGGCTCATGGTTACTGCAGGCCTGTGGTGGGGTAGAACATCACGGTAGGAGAGCAGGGTAAACTAAAACCTCATGGCCCACAGCAAAGGGGAAGGGGACAAGCTGGGGTGTCCACGGGCCCCCATCTCCCAAAGGTCCGACCGCCTGGCCCATAGAAACTCTGGAGAGTAGGCCTGTAGCGCACAGGCCTTCGGGGCCATCAGTGTCTGGTCATCACACTTGGTCACGGGGCTCTGCGGAACAGCCCTGTGGAACTGAAGTTCTCAGGACACCATCAGACCGACAGGCTGACAGGTGTGTACCCAGCTTTGTCTTCCTTAAGCCAACTATTTTTCTTTGTAATGTTTGCAGGTACTTTGTATTTAATTAGCAGGGAGGTTTGGTAACAGCACCCTTCAAAACCAGCTCCTGCTGTCCCACACTCATTTCTTACCTGTGTGACTTCAGACACTTGAGACATCCTTACCGGCCTTTCTCTGCCTCTGGTCCTCCTTTCCCACCTCCAGATGTTGTTTCTACCATTTTCTTCCTTCGGTCCACCCATCCCTGAGCTCCTCTCATCTGTGCCATCCTAAGGCTCACTGCCTGGGCAGACCCCTGTTCTCTGAGAGAGTCTGCCCCGTAGTTTCTGCCCTTCACCTCTCAGGATCATTTCCTAGTCCTGGGCCAGCCCCCTCCTTCCCCACCCTGCAGTGTGACCTGCAGGACTGTCCTGAAACCTCTGCATCAACATCTGCTCTCCCCCATGTCCTTTTCCCCTGTGTTTGCGGGGGTGGGGGGTGGGGGGGGACTGACCACAAGGCTCCCACATGCTCTCCTCTAGTGGTATTTCTAAGAGATCCACATCTCCCCCATCTTGAACTCCAACTTTGTCTGGAGAAAGACATTATTCTAACATAAACTTTGAGTACAGATGTAAACAGACAAACCAAATTGAACTGAAAATACTGGACCCTGAAGAAGTCAGGCATCCTTCAGACATAGGGGACAGGTGTGATGGTATCTGCCCTGGTTCCGCCATAGTCTAAGATTAATCCTCCTCCTGGGAGTTTGCCAGGATCTCCTGGTATTGAGCTTGTTAGTACCCACCTGCCCGAGAGCTATTTGCACAGCTCCTGGTCCAGCAGGAGTCTCTCCCCTGGGGTGGGACACTGGCCCTACCTTCTGTTTAAAGACAACGTGAGCATTCATTTCATGGTTGTCTTCTCAGGTGGGGCCTGAGCCAGGATCAGACTCCAGGAATAAGCAGATTATTTTTCTAGGTCCTCCCAAAATATTCTGCCCTGGGCCTCAGTTCACACTGCATGGACTGAAGACCTTTGTGTTTTGTCTCTTCTTGGGGTCTTTTTGCCTCTGGTCCCTGCAAGTTTGTTCCACGCAGTGTCTACTGAGTAGGTGGGGACAGATGTGAGGATCCACAGAGCTTTGCTAGCCAGACTGTCTGGCTGAAGAGTGAGCTCCTGGTTCAGCAAAAGACCGTGTCTCCCTTTCGCAATAAAATAAAACAAGGTGCAGAGCAATAGGAGATAGCCAGGGTCCCCCTCTGTCCTCCTCACACACACACACACACACACACACACACACACACACACACACACACACCACACACGAGCACACACACACATACACACAAATTACATGTATTAAAAAGAAAAGCTAATGATTGTGGAACATGTTCAAGAGGAAAAATATCTACTGTCCTTAAAAAAAATTATTTTTGAAAACTGAAAAGTAACTTGACTCAGAGTTTCACAATTTCTCTTTGGAAAAAGCACCAAGACCCCAGCTTTTTCTTTTTTTTTTTCTTTCTCCTCCACCCTGTATTTCATTTCCAGGTGTCACTTATGGCCTGTTCTTGTGCCTTCTGGTAAATGCTGAGAATCCATTGATTAAGCTTGTCAGCTAATTTGAAGGTTTAAAACCGTTGCTCCTCTCAGAGTTAGACAAGTTCCTCATGAAACAGATGGGCCTTAGGTTTGTTCTACAAAATCTGCATTGTATCACATAAGGATAAGTAGAGGTAAATAATACTGCAACCATAATATGCATTTGCAAAAAAAAAAAAAAAAAAGTGTCCTCTCTCTCAGTCACCTGACAGTGCTCCAACATCTCGGGCGTAAATGTAAAAAGACAGGAATTCCTGTCTAAATCGCTGTCATTTAACATGCGGCGGCACCTTCTGACAGCGGCTGTGTCTGCGTCTTCTCGAGACATCATCTGTCTCTCCACAACCTTGAAATGTGTCAGCACACATAGCCCACGGCTCATGTTTATTTACTACCCTACACACCCCTCATGTTTTTAAATGTGCAGCATTCTCCACTAGAGATTAATGACAAAAATAAGTGGTTTTGCGTCTTTCAAACATCTATGCTGGGAAAGTTAACTTCTCATGTGCTTGCTAATACAGCGCTAAAAACTAGAGCAACACCGTCCGAGAAAAGTTTGCCCCAACCACAGATCTAATTTAAATTCTGGAGTGTTTGTTATTGGTTTTTGTTTCGTTTCATTGGTTTTTTGTTGTTGTTTGTTTGTTTGTTTGTTTTTTTGAGACAGGGTCTCATGTAGCCCAAGCTGCCCTCAAATTCCCTATATAGCCTAAAGTGACCTTGAACTTTTCATCCTCTACTTCCTGAACTGGGAGTTTGGGTATCACATTCATGTAAAAACATGAAGTTTTTACAGCACTAAGGACAGCACCCAGGCCTTCATGCACACTAGATAAAGCACTGTACCAACTGAGCTCCATCCTCAACCATGGTTTAAAATCTTCTTGTAGCCACATTAAAGAACTACAGAGAAATGGGTAAATTTACTGTAAGTAGTATGTTTATTCAAACCAATATATGTGTATATCAAAACATTGTCACTTAAAATGTAATCAAAATGTAAAACTGATTAATGAGATATCTTACAGTTTTCCTACTAAGTCATTAAAACTCTGTGTATATGTTAAACCTACAACATACCTACATTTCACTCCTAAATGCCTGATCTATGTTTAGGTTTCATAAAAGATCAACACTAAAGGGAGCCTGCAGTGCTTACACTGTTCCAGACACGCTTGAAAAGTCCCCAAAATGAATCATTTCCCAGATGGTTGACACATTGACAAATAATTGATCTGACTTTGATGCAAAATTGTACCAGTTTCAAAACTACGTTCTAGTTTAAAAATCCATTAATTCTCATGTCAACTTGGGCTTATTGAATCCAAAGCAAGAAAATGATTCTAGAGTTATCAATATCAACAAATCCTTCCAATTGTTCTTATACTTTTGCAGCCAATTTACATTACTCTGTCAACTACAATCTATTTTGCCTATTTATCTGTCAAATCATTATCTCTAACTTGTACAATGTACATCTTAATTTACATTCTCACACCTGTGGATCATTACAGTGTGTTTCTCCTGGATACTCATCACCACAGAGAATTTTTTCTAGAAACGGAACAGACCACTCCCATCACCCTGACACCACAGGTCACCAGCCTGGAGTTGAGGCTTCCCCTCTTCTCTCCCCCAAGAAAGACACAGCCACTGTCTGTCTGGCTTTCATGTTCCACGGTGGAAATCCCACCAAGCGAGAGCCCAGCATGTCCCTTCTTCACCTGCATAACGTAACAGGTGGCTTTCGCATTAAGGTAAATCGCTTTTCTACTGTCTAATTAATTGTTTCACATCTCTTTAGTTTTTGAAATTTTAACTCTACCTGAGAAAATCCCCACTCTTCAAAACAGAGAATAGCTAAACTAATCTCATAAGACATAATTTTGAATCTGTTTTTAAACTTATTTCTGAGTCACCTGGAATGTGTGTGGCCAAGTATAGTAATCAGTCTTCCCAAACCCAGGCCCTTGGGAAACACATGGAATGAAAGGTTTTCTTTAAGAAAACTTCCTGAGGACTCCCATCATTAAAGTGGAATCATTGCTCATGACTGACACAAAGTAGAGCTAGCCCCCAATGTGTGCCAAATGATGAACAGAAACAGAATGTGGTATATCCATGTAACAGGCTATAATTCAGCCATAAACAGGAACAGATGTAGTTCGGCATGGATGAACCTTGGAAACTTGCCGAGGGAAAGAAACCAGCTTCAGGAGCCACTTCCTGTGTGGTACCCTTTGATTCCTAGAGCGCTGCCACACTGCTGCAGGAGATCATCCAACAGGCCATGGCCTGAAATGGTACCCAGCACTGAAGTGGCCAACATGCTTGTCTGTAACCCCCACTCCTGACGCCTCCTCCCTTCCACCAACAGACAGCCAGGCTCTGAAGCTCCTCGTATCCAAATGCAGAAACTTACCTCCAGCCCATCCGTCCTTCCTTCCTGCTGCTGGAGGAGACTGGTCTCACAGAAACTTACCTCCAGCCCATCCGTCCTTCCTTCCTGCTGCTGGAGGAGACTGGTCTCACAGAAACTTACCTCCAGCCCATCCGTCCTTCCTTCCTGCTGCTGGAGGAGACTGGTCTCACAGAAACTTACCTCCAGCCCATCCATCCTTCCTTCCTGCTGCTGGAGGAGACTGGTCTCGCTGCAGGTTCTCTGTCCTGGCTTTGCTTCTCCCAACCACCTTCTGAGGAGCCTCGCCCACTGCTCTTGCCCTTTCTCTCCTGTCCAGATCCTCTGCTTCACTCCAGCTGTTGAGGTCTCTTGTAGACGCACAGGGTCACTGGTATTCCTAGATCCTTCAGCATAGCTTGACTGCCATGGGGCAGGAGAGGAGAGGCTCATAGCCCATTGTGTTGCTAGCTTTGTGGGGAAAGCTGACTGATGGCTTTGGTCATGAGATTATCTGTCATTTGCTTACTGTTTTATTAATCAAAAGTACCAGCATTGATTAGAGTTCACCCTCATACTTTATTCAAACTTCTCTGCTTCAGGTTCACACACAGTGGGACCACATAGGTGTGGTTTGGTCGTATGTTCTTTGTCTTTATCCAGGATGGCGAACTAGCATCTGTGCCCCAGAGCATCTACTAGGAGCTCAGTTAGGATCTGTCCATTGAGTGAAAGGAATTCTGTAAGAAAGAGGGAGCAAAAGAGGGAACATGCTTTACTTAAAATTGAGTACATTGACTTAGAGGTGTTAATTTTTAATTTTTAATTTGTTTGATGGTTTCATCCATGTATATGGTGGATTTGGGTCATTTTCACCCATCATCATCCTCTCTCAGTCCCCTCCTCCCCCACCGTATCCCTCTTTCTTCCTAACAAGCCCTCTTTCTACTTTCATGTGTGTGAGAGAGTGTTTGAGTGTGTGTGTGTGTGTGTGTGTGTGTGTGACTCTGTGTGTGTATGAGTGTTGTGTGATATGTGAGTGTGTGTGTTGTGACTGTGAGTGTTGTGAGACTGAGTGTATGTGAGCTTGTGTGTAAGGTGTGTGTGTGAGTGACTATGTGAGTGTGTGTGCACAAGAGAGTGAGAGTGTGTATATGGGATAGTGTGTATGTATGTATGTGAGTGTGCATGCATGAGAGAGTATGTGAGTGTGTATGAGTGTGTGTATATGAGTGTGTGAGTGTGATAGTGTGTGGGTATGAGTGTAAGTGTGTGTGTGTGTGTGTGTGAGAGAGAGAGAGGGAGGGAGGGAGGGAGGGAGGGAGAGAGAGGGAGGGAGGGAGGGAGGGAGGGAGAGAGAGGGAGAGAGAGAGACCTTGTGGGTTTCATTAGAATTGCTTCCATGGGTGTGGACTTATTTATTGGAGCATGGGCAACTTGCCTGTGACTACATCATGGAAGAAAACAATTTCCCTCTTCCAAGTTCCATGAACTACCAGTAGCTTCTCAAGGAGGAGTGGGTCCTCAAGAGCCCTCTCTCATCCGTGATGGGATGTTGACAGGCTCTATCTTGCACAGGTAACCACAGCTGCTGTGAGTTCGAGTACAACAGCCAGGCTATGTCCACTAGACATCATGCCAGAGAACTCCTCATCCTCTGGCTCTTGCATTCTTCCCTTGCACAGTATTTCCAGAGCCTCGAGGGGTTGGGTGATATAATGTCCCATTTAGGGCTGAGCACCCACAGGGACTTATTCTCAGTGTTTTGACCAGTGATGAGTCTCTGAGGTAACCACTGCCTGTGGCAAGAAGAAGCTTCTCTGACCAAGGTTGAGAACAGCACTAACTTATGGATTCAAACAAATATTTAGAAGGTACTTTAACATGTTTGTTTAGCAAAGCAACAGTAGCAGCTTCTTCCTGGGACTTAGGATCTCCCCGTCATCCAGTCCCAGGTATGGGCTCCTTCCTGTGGAGCAGTCAAATCCAGTCGGCATGTGACTGGTTATCTCCATGACATTGGTTTCACTGCTGCACCGCCAGGCACGTGTTGCTTGGCATGTTGGTGGCATGCAGGGTCTTCCACTGGGTAATGCCACTGATGAATTTTCTCCCACATCAACCTGGCTAGCACATTCTGGCACTGTCAGTGCTGTCCTTCAGGGAGGAAGCCACCAGCTTGATTTCCCCATGTCTTGCAATCAATATTTCAGCAGTAGGGTCTGGTGGGCAACTGAGAGCAATGGCAATATCCTGTACTGTTTTGAGGGCTAGATGGCTTTTTAATCTACTGTGCACAATAATTCTAAAGTGAACGTCAAAAAAAATTTTACTGCAGGCCATGGAAGCAGGACTGTCAGAGGTAAAGAATGAGTTACAGTCACGTGATGACCTCCTGAGGATCATAGAAATGGAAAGATTGCACTTGCATAGGGAACTGTTGAAAATGGGAGAATGCCAGACTGCTCAAGACAACAGGAGAAGGTACAGTTCTCACCCTGGAGAGAAACTTCTCAAAGCAGGATTTATATACGTATTCAGGGGCTTCACATTTGAACTAGATTAATGTTTATTTGAATTACCATATTCTTTAGGATATCAATATAAACAACAGTGTGGAGCTGGTGTTTAATTATAGATTTGCAGAGAAATGAGATTTATTCTTTATTATAATTGTTTCTGCTTTGGTTGAGGGTGGTGTAGTAACTTTGCCTCTGCATTCACGACCTGCAGCTCCATATTCGGAGTTATTACTTGTTCTGGAGGGATGGCTCAGTGGTTGAGAGAGCTTGCTACTCTTCCAGAGGACCCTAACTCAGTTCCCAGCATCCATGTCAAGTGGCTCACAAACACATAACTGCAGTTCCAGGAGACCTGATGCCTCTGTCCTCTGAGGGCACCTGCACTCATGTGCACAGACACACATACATATACATAATTTAAAATAAGATAAATCTCTTTTTAAGAAGTTGTTACTAACACAGATTCCCCCCCACCCTTAAGAGCAGACATATATTAAGTTTTTCATAACCACTAGCAAGTAGGTCTTCTGAGAATTCTTGGTGTTTGAAGTTCTGAAGAGATGGTCTGATTTCTTCAACAATTCACTGGTGTGGAACTTTCTTCTCAGAATCAGCAAGCTAATGAAACAAATGATAGGATTTTTAAAAATTGGAATAGCTAAATGATCAAGGGTATTTTACTGAAAGATAATTGCTTTTCAGACAGTAATAATTTCTTCAAAGTTGTAGGACATGATAACATGGAAAGATGGCTCAGTGGTTAGGAGCAATGGTTGCTCTTCCAGAAATCCTGGGTTCAACTTTCTAAACTCATCCCCATACATAGCAGCTCATAACCATCTGTGGCTCTAGTTCCAGAGGATCCAAAATAATCATCAGGCTCTGCTGTCACTACACACACAAACATGGTACACAGACATGCATGCAGGCAGAGTGCCCGTACACATAAAATAAATCCTAAAAAAAAAAAAAAAAAAAAAAAAAAAAAGGCAGGCTAGTCATGATGGCACAGGCCTTCACTCTCAATACTAGGGAGAGGCAGGCAGCTCTCTGTGAGTTCTAGCCCAGCCTGGTCTACATAGTGAGTTTCAGTCTACTAGTGCTACCAAAGAACAAAACTAGTAATGTTCAGTCCAAACACAGCCAGCTTTCTTTCAATACACAGTTCCTACATATTTGTTCACTACAAACTCTTCTCTAGTCTCTGTCAAGCTGTATGATCATTTTGGTCTCCAAACTATGTCTTTCTCCCTTGAAGGGACCTCTCGGACGTCTCATTCTGAGATGTCATGAGATGCCATGCATTGAGCACGGCAGCTTCCCGCCATGGTAGAGTCTTCAGCCCTCATCTTTCCCGCTTGCAGTTTTTAAATCCTTCCGGTCTGGTTTCCATGGCTGCTGCCTGTCTGCTCTGTGGTCTGGGTTTCTTGAACTTGGGCCCTGCCTCCTCTTTGTGCTTTATTAAAATGAAGCAGCCCAGAGCATTGGCACAGTGGTTAGTGATGTCTCCATTCATTCCCAGAACCTTTCTTGATGATATTAAATTTTGTTAGCTTTTCCATTTCCTTCTTCAGGGCACAAGCACCATGAGCTGACATGTTTTGCATTATTAAAAAATAATTCCACAATCCTTTTCCTAAGTGAAAAACCATACCTCCTTTATCTGTTTGCATTAGCATGGTCATGTTTCCCAAACACATATCCATATCAGAATTGCATGTTTTTCCATTCACTCACTGAACCTGGCAAGCTCACCACAAAGGCTTAGTGGTCATTCAGCATTGCACCCTTGAGAGTGCTTGGGAAGAATCTAGAAATGAGAACATTCTTTTTTCCTTTCCAAATCATAGCAAGTGAGAAACTTGAAGACTACATTTGAAATAGGATGTTAAATAAAATGGAAGTACTCACAACACATTAGTTGGTGAGAAACACAAGGACACTAGATAATAACATGTAGTGTGTACTCTAGGCTTATGAGAAACATGTTCACTTGTATATATGGAGGAGAGGACATCATTCACAGAAAGGCTGACAGCGGTCCTTCCAGGGTCATTACACAACAGTGGTAGTTACACTCACACACTCTGTTGGCCTACAAAAACTCGGACGTGGGGAATATGGGGTGTGTGTGTGATAACTGTGGTGGGGGAGGGGTGTGTGATAACTGTGGTGGGGGAGGGGTGTATGATAACTGTGCTGTGGGGAGGGGTGTATGATAACTGTGGTGGGGGAGGGGTGTATGATAACTGTGGGGGGGAGGGGTGTATGATAACTGGTGGGGGAGGGGTGTATGATAACTGTGGGGGGGAGGGGTGTATGATAACTGGTGGGGGAGGGGTGTATGATAACTGTGGGGGGGAGGGGTGTATGATAACTGTGGGGGGAGGGGTGTATGGTAACTGTGGTGGGGGAGAGGTGTATTATAACTGTGGGGGGGAGGGGTGTATGATAACTGGTGGGGGAGGGGTGTATGATAACTGGTGGGGGAGTGGTGTATGATAACTGTGGTGGTCAGAAAGATCGACCCAGCTTAGACACGTGTACCTTAGGGAGACCGCTTGAATTTGTACCTTTTGAGAGATCCTTTATTTCTAATCTTTAAAGTAATTATCTCTCCACCATTGCTCAGATTTGGAGTTGTGGTTTTACTTTGTGTGCTTTGTGTTTCTGATATTTGGAACACCCTCGGGATGTCTCTGGAAAGCCAGTTAGTTATCCTCACAGGTGACTCCTACTGAGTCACAGCTGATTCTAGAGTGGTGAGCTCACCCATCATCCTGGAGCTGCTGCCCACCCCTTTATACTTTAATGACTGGTTCCAGTTTACCACACAGGGAAGTGGCCCTCACTAGCTGTGCTTCTCTGAGCATCAAGTGGGGTTGTCCTCCCTCACTCCTCCCCCTCCCCATATTGAGAAGTGGCTTCTGTTCCATTTTATATGCAAATAGCAAAAACCAGGCCCCTTTGAGTTCCCTCCCTGGCCACAGTGTCAGGTGTCACTTTCAGTGTCCTTCAGACTGTGTGCTCGCTCCCTGGACTTCTAACATCAGCACTTGACACCCCAGCAGCTGGGTATAGTTCCAGTTAGGTTCCCAAGCTATGCTATTATAAGAAGAAGTCTTTTCCTCTTATTAAAAAATCTTACTTACAAGGAATGGAGAGCTAGCTCAGTGGTTAAGAGCACTGACTGCTTTTCCAGAGGTCCTGAGTTCAATTCCCAGCAACTACATGGTAGCTTACAGCCATCTGTAATGATGTCTGGTGCCCTCTTCTGGTGTGCAGGTGTACATGCAAACAAAGCACTTGTGTGCATAAAATATATAAATAAATATGCTTAAAAAATCTTATCTACATATGTAACCCCAGTGTCCTGCCTATTTTAATGCATAATTGAGTTGGCTATTAACGGCTTCCTTTTCTCCCATTAAAACCACTCTCACTCAAAAACAGAAATATTCTCAGGACTTAGAATTATTAGAATTTGTGATTTTTGTAGCCACTAGTGTTAACAATACAATGATCTATTTTCTACAGCTTCCAATGACTAGACTAACAATCTAATTAAGAATTCACCAAGTTAGGCTTAAGTGTTGCCTGCTTTCTTCTTAATTTGTAGACTTGAATCGTCATGTTCCCCCTCTACTAAAGAACCAGAAAGGAAAAGAAAAGAGTTGTTTTCAATGGTCTCAGATCAACCAAATCATGAAAAAGAATTAAACAAGGTATGGAATATGATGAGATCCATTCTTTCAGCTCTAAAGTCTCGGCATAAAATTGGCTTTAAAAATCTTCCTTCACGCTCCCTTCTTTTTCCTGCTGTACTATCTCCAAAAGAAATAATCCACCAAGCGGATAATTCCGATATTCTGTGTGAACACAGATCTTGGGTTATTCTTGCTAGCGGGAGACTGCAGATGAAATGTGGAGGTGTGCCTTTGTGAGCGATTGCGGCAGGTGCTCAGCATGTGGGGGACCTTGGGGGACCTGCCAGCACACCTCATCTAGGACGGGGCGGTTAGAACTGTAGACAGAGTGAACAAACGTCTGTCACCCCAGAGAGGGCACTGACTATAGATGGGGGAAGGATTCCACTCAAGGCTCACTTGGCAAACCAATGAGTTTATCGATTACCCTCAGAAGGGGGCATAGTTACAGGACCACGTGTGATGCAGAGGCAGCTCCATCACTGTGGAGACCTGCAGGAGGAGGATGCATCACAGACGCTGCATCCCTGGAGCTCTTGGCTGGCAGCTCTGCTGCAGTCTCCTCGTCCTATCAACTGTTAACTGCTGAGAACGGTGGCTGAACTTGGGGTACCTTACAACTTTCTGGGCCCCTGGGCTTACCTTGCAGGAGGTTATTAGTTTCCTGAGTCTTATACGCTCTGTTTTCAGTGCCAGAGGGATTGTCTCAACTCAGAGGAACTAGAAACACACCTTCCAACACCCTGAGGTTATGATGGGGGTGAAATGAACCGGTATCTGTCGATACTCCTGTGGCTCTTAGCGTGTGCCAGGAACAAACTGTCCCAAGGATTTAACAGCCTAACGTCACTCAGTCCTCACAACCATCTTTAAAAATGGGATCTATGTCATCCTCTTTTTGCTTTAGAGGAAACTAAGACACAAAGAAGTTGAACAGATTCTCCCACATTACACAGTAAGTGGTAGACACAAGTTTTGAATGTAGGCTATCTTACCCCAGAGACTACATACCTACCTCTGTTAAAATCCAGGAGCTAATGCAAGTCACGTGCTTAGAACAGGGCCTGGCTCAGAGGAACACAGGACAGATGTGGCCTACGGTGGTTTGGGCCACACCCACATTTCTGAGGGCCCAGCATAGACCTGCCAAGAGCTAAACACCTTAGATGAGGAGGGTGTGGGCATGGTTCCTATGGAGCCTACGGTTCTTCATTCTCCTACAACCAATACATCCTCCTTGTAATTATTCCCCAGTTGTAATAGGAAATACATTGGAATGATAGATCCTGACTGGGTGTGGCAATTCATACCAATAATCCTAACACTTGTGGATTGCTGAGGCAGGAGGATTGCAAGAAGTCTGAGGCCAACCTAGGCTATATATCAAGACTCTGTCTCTACCCTTCAGCCCCTTAAAAGACAGATCCGGCAGAGCTGGCTGAGAACTAATGCAGGTCCAGCACAGAAAATGCGTGATAGCGCAATTGTTGTTGCTCTCCTGTTTTGAACACTGATCCCACATAATCCCATAAAACTGATTTTACTGATTTTAAAAATACAACTTTCAAAAACTGCTCTTTATTGGTATTTCCAGAGATTGTGCCATGGTAAAAGGAGTGACTAACACTGTGTGGAGTTGGACTCTCCTGGAGCTCAGAGGCTTCCAACAGAGTCAGAAATACAGAGTAAAGAATCCTCTGAGTCGGCCTCTGAGGTGGAGGGAGAGATCAAGGCACAGATCTCCCAGGCCCCTAGAGGCCAGGCAGCAGTGCTGTGCAGGGTGATAGTGGATAGCCAGGGTAACTAGCTGCAGCTTCCAGAAGTATCAGCAAAGAGCATTTCCATTCCATTGTAAAGACACCAACAAGTGCCATGCACTATGAATCTTGTGAGTGGTTTTTCTTTTGTGGGTACAGAGCTGTTTTTAGTCCCTTATTTTTTTGATAAAATTCACATTTAAAAAAAAGCCATGTCATTGGAAGCAACGATAAATTCATCTCATTTAGAAACACGCTCTGTGGAAGAGTGTGTTGTTTTACTATCTAAACTAATAAAAAAATCTTAATCCTCTTTCAGAATAGCATATTCATTTTCTTAATTTTCTGACTTTCATTTTTAAGAGGACCATGCTAAAGTATACCACAGGGACATAAACAGTAAAATCTAGACTGTCACACTGCAGAATAATATTGTTGGTTCACCAAATAAACTATAAGGAGGAAAAATAGAGAGATGGGAATCAACGAGATTGAGGGGGGTGAGCAAGACAACCCAGTAGATAGAGAGGCTTGCTGCTAAGCCGATGACCTGAGTTCCATCCCCAAGAGTCATGATAGGAATGAACCAACACCTAGGAGCTCTCTGGACCTCCACATGGGTGCTGTAGCATGCACGTGAACACACAAACAAATGTAATTTAAAGAGACCCATGACGTATTCTGGGGTCAGGTCTTGCCACCAAGACTCTTGTTTTGGCGAGCTGGATAAGACACCCCTGGTTCCTATTTGCTGAATGGCAAAGTTGAGACCATGTGATTTCTAAGTCACATTTCTAGTCTTAGCAATCAGAGCAGGACCAGATAAGGAGTGCGTGGTGCCTAACCTAGGATGCTGCACATTGGCCTCTGGACACAGCTACCCCTGCTTTAGGTGTCTGTCCCTGGGTGTCTGTCCTAAATCCTGGCCATCCCAGTGTGCAACCCACTCTGGATGGGGCACAGGTTTGGAAGTGACTGCCTTCCATGAGGACTGGAACTGGAACATGAGATCATGGGATTGGATGAAGAGACCAGACAGGCACGAAGAGAGAGCAGAGTGGAAAGGGAGAGCCAGATGGGCGTGGTGAGCTCCTAATTCAGTTTCACAAACTTGAAGAGCATTGGAATTCTGCCTGACTATTTGGTGATGTGGAAGAAGTGATCGTGAAGACATTGTAAAGGTGTTCTGCGGGGAGAGAGGACAGAAAAAGAGCCCTTACTCCTTTAGAGATATACACTGGGTTTTCAAAGAGGAAGTGTAGAAGAGTCACTTCTCACCTTCCAAGTGTCTGAGTATATTCATGTATGTCTCCGTGGATTTTCTTGGTTTCCCTCTCTGGCCTTATTTCTTGGCACACAGATGATCAAAACACTCCAGGCTCCCTCAGTGAACACAGCTCTCTGGCCCGCCCTGCTGCATTGTTTGCCTGGGAGTTTCCTCCTGGCTTTCTGGCTTCCATCTACCCTTCAGGATTTGGGAAGACTATCCTGATCCTGACTATCCTGATCCAAGCCCCCCTCCCCCACCTCTCAGCTGGGCTAGGCACCCTCCAGGGCATTCCTCAAACATCAGTTCCTGCCACATGCTGTGACTATGTTTCTTTTTCTCCCCCTGCCCCACATGTGTGTGTTCCACGAGAGGGCTCACTGGGTACTTTATCTGGGACTCCCAAGAGTGAGAAGCAGGGGGTAGTCTTTAAAACGATGCTGGGGAGTGTGACCAAGGCGGGAGTAACAGGAATAGAGAACAGAAGATCCCAGAGGGTGAACTGGGCTAGATTTGGAAAGTTGGGGGTGGTGAGGCGTCCAGGTCCCACAGGTCCTGTTAGGAGAAGGTGAGTGAAGACGACTCTGAGGGGTCATGAGAAGCCAGGAAGACATTCTAACCGACACCATGTGCTTAGTTACTTAGTGGTTCTCAGATGCAGTGTGGAGTCACAGCTGGCACAGTGGGATGTACACTTTGTTTCATTTTTTAAAAACTTTAAAGCCGAGAACTGTGAGTTCTAGTCTCAAATCTGACACTTACTCTAGTATGATTTGAGCAAGTTGCTTACCCTTCATAGGTCCTTTTTTTTTTCCTCCATAAGAAGGTCCTGATGGCCAGACTTGGTGGTGTACACCCATAATCCCAGAATTTCAGAGGCCAAGGCATGAGGATCCAAAGATAATGGACAGTCTGGGCTGTGGAGGTAGACCCTGCCTCAAAAACAAAACAAAGTAATAATTTCTGTCAAGTCTGTAGCAAAGCTGAGTCCGAAGTGACACTTTACACATGACAAGAAAGCAGTGGACTTTTGGGGTTGGGAGGAAACTGTGAACTTAGTGAGGTGCTTGTCCGTCAGCACTGGTCAGAAAGGGGGTGCCATGGACCGCAGACCTCTTAGGGCAGGAGGACTGAGGGAGTTCAGCACAAGCTGCAGCTGCTCCGTGAGTGAGGGGTTCATGTCTCTGGGTCACTCTCACTGCAGATGAGAAGCCAGCTCTACCGGGAGGAAGACCGGTGCTCCGAACAGGAACGCATGAGGAATGAGATCTCCGACCTCACCCAGGAACTTCAGCAGAAGGAGGTCACTATAGCAACTGTCATGAAGAAAGCTGCCCTTCTGGAAAGACAGCTAAAGATAGAATTAGAAATAAAAGAAAAAATGTTAACAAAGCAACAGGTATGCACACAGGAAAGCACTCTCCAGGGCTGACTCGGGCTCAGTCCTAGCCCTCCTCCTCCCCTGTCAAGAGCCTTGGGTGCTCGGGCCAGTGTCTGAGACTTGGTGTCAGAGATGCTTTGCGGTGCCTCATAAATCCTGTGCCGTACCACAAAGCATCATCAAAGAAACTGAAGACAGGGCGTGCTAGGGTGATCAGTCCCACGCCGGCATTCTCCTGCAGCTGTCTTCTCACATCACATGTACCCTGCTTCCTTTGCCGGTGTTTTCAATATGCCCTTTCCACTAACGCTTCCCCCGCACCACCCCCCCCCCACACACACACACATTTAATAGACTGCCATTAGTGTTTTTAACATGGAGGCTGCAGAATAAACATCCATCCCGCACACAGCTTGTCCTCAGAGACAAGCAGAGATTGGGAGGTTCATCCGTTAAGGGATGCTCATGCACACCCTCCCTCCCTATTTAGTCTTTAAATTTCCCTGCTCTCTTATGAATAATCAAATTTGTAGCCTGCTTTTGACAGCACGGGCTTTATGGCTTTTTCATTCTAAATCTAGGTGCACAAAACATGAACCAAGACAATCTGTACAAGAGCAGTTAAATCATGTGTGTTTACAAAAACTGGAAAGAGTAGGCCTCCATCCAGTCACAGGCTTTAGACTGACCAGTTTGTACCATACCCAGGAAAGTGGCGACAGGGCGCTGCACGGGCAGAGGATACGCAGCTGGCAGAGTGGGCAGCTGCACATGAATGAGACTCATTTTCATTTTCATATGGCCATGTTTCCTACATTTTGTCAATGAACATATATTCTATAACTTACAAAAGTAAATCTTTATAAAGCGTGAGTTTTATAAAAAAAAAAAAAAAAAGAAATGAGCCTTAGCTATACAAAAGAGCAGGCCAGGAATAGAGGCACACATCTGGCCTCCCAACCTTCAGGTAGAAATCAGGGAAAGAAAAAAGAAAGATACAAAATGAAGTCATAGGCAGGCAAGGAAACGCGGCCAGAACACCAGAAGGAACAAATTAGGCCATATACTGCTTACTGTAAAAGTTAATGGGGCGTTAAGAAGCGTAATGAGCAGTCTCTTCAAGAAGGGGTTTTAAAATTGTGGCTCTTCTGGCTGTAGTTCCTATACATGAGAAATGGAATTTCAGACTTGTTGGGGAAAGGTAAACCGTTATTTAAGTGTTTAAATCCAGCACTACTCACACAGGAAGAGAGGCCAGGAGAGGGAACGGGGCCCTGGCGAATGGTTCCCTTTTGCCACCACAGAAAGGGCTTTGCACCCACGGGACAGAGCAAATGAACACAAAGACGAGTTCCGCTGTGAGTTTCACGCGTGCCTCTTATCTACTAATCTTTCAGGTCTCGGATATGAGATACAAAGCAGTCCGAACAGAAAACACACACCTGAAAGGGATGATGGGAGACTTGGACCCTGCACGGTACTTGGTAATGCGCTGAATTCATTCCCCGAACTGAACTCCTAGGAGGGGGTTGTCTGGCCAGGGCTGACCCTCTGTGTGGTCACTGAGCATGCGCGCCAGAGCTGGGTGCTGCCTTCCCGGGGTGGCTTGCCCAAGCTGGGACACTTGTTTAGGGCTCAGTTCTGAGCCTTCCCAGACATGCAAAACATGGAGTTTCCTGACTTTTAATCCCCAAACCCTATATCCTAGACGGCCCAACTTCAGTGCCAACCTTATGCTCAGTCCGCAAACCCGAATCAGAACGATCTGGCCCGTCCTTACTTGGTTCGTATTTGGCTCTGACTTGTTTTGTGACTTGTCCCTTTCCACTGGATGACAAGCAGGAAGTTGGCATAGCCATCAGCTCAGGACATCCGGTACAAAGCAAGCGTTCAATGCTGTTGACTGAATAAATGAATTAGCCCCTGGCTCGACCTAGGCTCCGAGCCTCTCGATTCCCGTTGGCTAACGTGGCCGTCAACAGTTGGTTTTAAAGAAGAACTTTCGTTGGTTGAAATATTGACATATTAGCATTACTTGTTATCTTTTCTTATAGTCACTCAGAGAAAATCCTACCATTGGTTTTTGTTTGTTTGTTTGTTTGTTTGTTTGTTTGTTTTAACTGTTCAAGGAACAGAAAGGGTAAGATAGGAAAATTTGGGCATCATGGTTATTTAAGCTGCCTGAGGCCTCGGCCGGGCCCCTTCTGAAGCCAATGTTGTATTTCTATCATGTTGTGCACCTGTTCTCACACGAGTCCGTATTCCAGCACGAAGACAGGAGAAGCACCTGGAAGCACTCTCCCGTCTTCCCTGAGCGTGGTTGTGGACCCTGTGACTGCAGCACTGATGGATAAAAAGGGAAGATAAAAAGTCTCCCTACCTGCCACATTAAAATCCTGCCCGTCATCTCCGCCTTTTCCTTCCCTAGCATGGGACACAAGCTGAAGCGGCTGCCAAGTGTTTGTCTGTATACCTCCTAGGTCACCAGAGCCCTGCTGAGGGGCTTCACTCTGCTCCTGTAGGCTTTTAGCTTTGTTCACTTATATTATTTGGTTTTTTAAGAACTAAAACGCACAAAGATATATAAAGCAGCTGCTAATTACCCACACCCCTTTCTCCAGCCCCACTTGGGCAGCAGAAGGCTCTGTGGCAGAAAACAATGGCTTTTTCCTGACCATTCCCACAGATAAGGTGGGAGACGGAGTCTCCTACAACATAGATGTGAAACTCAAGCATTGCCTGGAGCTGACCTCCAGCCGTGTGTGTGTGTGTGTGTGTGTGTGTGTGTGTGTGTGTGTGTGTACAACAGTACAAGTCAGCAAGTCCTAGGAAACTTTACACTCATCTAAACTGCACATAATTGTCTGTGAATTAACCATAATGTGCATGCAGGTGACTTCAGAGCACACGTTTTCCTTGCTTCTGCCTCTCCATGCCCTTCTTCCACATCTTGTCCTGTGTGCCAGGCAGATACAATGACTCCTCGGTTTGTATCTATCACTTTGTGTATTTACATACCATACACACATATATGCTTATTTGGGGATTTTATCATAAAAAAAAAAAAAGGGTGACAGGGGTAGAAGGGATGGCTCGGAATTTCAGAGCATTTGCTGCTCGTGTGTAGATCTGATTCAGTTCCCCACCCCCAGATGGCAGCTCACAATGACCTGCCAAGTTCGGTTCCAGGGTATATGATGTCATCTTCTGATCCCCTCAGGCTCCTGTACATATAAGGCACACATATATACACACAGAGGTACACAGAGATACATATAATTATTTTTTAAAACCTAGGTTCACATACCTCTACATGCCACACTTCTATGAGTCTTATTTTTGTTTGCTCCAAAATGCCTTTCCACACCAACTGGCTGAAACATAGTCTACCCTTTATAATAGTTGTGTAATATTCCATGGTGTTGATATATCAAAATGTATTAGACTGTTTTTCATAAGTATTTTAGTCCTAGTGTATTTGACTCTGTTTTTGTATTTTCACCTGGATAAATAGGTCATAAAACTCCCAACACGTACATCTTGGAGCAGCTTTCTGGGGGAGGAGCCATGCTCATGGGACATGTGTGTTTTAATGTTAATATCATTCTCACAGCCTGTTTCTTTTGCAGCACTGTGCTTTCTTGTTGCCAGTACTGTTGCTACAGTAACTTTTCCAACAGCACTTTGATTCATTCCATTCCCTGCCAATGGGCACGCATCAGTTTCCTGCCGTAGCTGACAGTTTGTAACAATATGAATTAGACACACTTTATGCATATTTTCTCTGATGTTAGTTTTCTTTTGCTTGTCAATTTATAGAAGCATTTTCAAAGTCTATTTTCTGTAACTTTATATTTTTGTGATACAAGAAGTTTTAAACTTTGACTTGCCAAAAATCACCCTCTCTTTATGGATATATTTGGAGCTTCCTTTTTTGGTAATAGGGTTTTCTACACGTACGAATATGCTTTTGTATTTTTTCAGTTTTATATTTTCCATCCAATTGTTCAGTCCATTTAAATTGTACTTTGAAATGCAATGTGTAATAGCTCAGTTAAAATTTTCATGTAGACTAAGCTCAGTACACCGGATTTGTTCTTATAATTTCCTGTGCATTCTATGTGGAATTGAATTTGTTTTTGTATTAACTTTGAAGACAACGCCTTTATTATAATAAGATATAGCATGATTCCCTATTTCTTTATAACACATTTCCCAATAATACAATTTTCTTTGAATAGTTCCTGTTTCCTTTCTTTAAAAATATTTCCCAAGTTATTACAATTCTTGTCACTGTTATAAATGGAATATCTTGCTTTTATCACATCAAGCAGCTAATTGCCAATATAGAAGAAGGTTATTTTATTCCTTCTAGAGCAGTGTTTCAAAACCTTCCTAATGCTGTGACCCTTTAATACAGTTCCTCATGTTGTGGTGACCCCCAACCTAAAATCATTTCACTGCTACTTCATAACTGTAACTTTGCTACTGTTATGAATCGTAATGTAAATATCTGACATTTCCAATGGTCTAAGGCAACCCCTGTGAAAGGGTCATTCGACCTTCCAAGGGGTCACGATCCACAGGTTGGGAACTGCCGTTCTAGAAGGAACTTTGCTAACGGAGTTTAGCTCTCTGGCTCTCTCCTCTTTTCCTGTGCTCACCCCAATCTCGTCATTGTCACAACGCCCTTGCCAGGACCTCTAGGAGAGGCATGGTAGTACTTGCTGGCAAACTTTCTAGTTTATGACTATAAATGTCTCACTTTTGGAGGTTTGCTGGATGTAAATTTGTTTTCAATTCATGATCCTGTGTCGTCCTTTCTGCCCATTGTGAAATGCAGCTGCTAGAGCTTGCCAGGGCCTTTGCGGCAGAGATGACACTGAGTGAGTGTCCCCCTTGCATTTGGTGATGTGTCGAGACTGTGGTTGACGTATTTCCCAGTTTTCATCCAAATTTGGGTTCCTGGGATATTCTTCCCAGTTCTAAATTGGCTTGATGTCACAGTGTGTTTGCTTAGAACAGCAGGGCTCTGGGAGGAGGCTAGAAGTCCCAAACATGTCCTCAGGGCCATGCTCCCTCTAACCTCAGTGCAGGAGGCTTCTGCACACACATAACCCACCCCCCACCCCACCACCACCACCCCGGTCCCTTCCTCTTTCTCTCCCTCTCTCCTCCTCTTTCTCTGCTGGTCTGAGACAGTCTTTGGTGTTCCTGGGCAGAAGAATGCCTCACACCAGTGCTTTGTCTCAGGGTGCTGTGGTTCCCAGGTCTGACTCATTCCATGATCCTCAGGAGTCAGGTTTTCCTGTTCCTTTTGCTGGGCATTCACTCTGGGCCCACTGCCTCTGTGCAGACCCTGTTCTGACTAGGGGTTAGGACTTCAACAGGCTTTGGTAGGGAGCCACAATTCAACCACGGTAGTCATACTCTGTCAGTTTTAGTGCGTTACTGGGTCAGTGTGATGATACTTTAGTTAAGGTGAGGTTTGTCCTTGGCTCTTTGTAATTGTTTTTAGGCACACACTGGAGGTTCCTGGCTCTGGGGTGTCTAGAAACAGTTAAATAATAAATACTAGCCCTCGTTACTGAAAGGTGGAACAAACAATGAGACATGTCAGCCTGGACACGAAGGAGTTCCCTTTGCCTCTTCCTCTTGGCTTATTCAAGTCTCTATTTTTTCTAAGGTCATTTGTATCCTTTGAGGAAATATGCTCATTTCCGTTTGTTTCCTCCTTACTGAAGTTACTCAGAGCCAGCAGCTTTACTCATCTCCCATACTCCAAGTGTTATTGTCAGGTTTTCTTCTTTGAGACAGGGTCGAACTATTTATCCAAGTCTGGCCTTGAGTTCCTACATCAGCCTCCTGTGTGTCAGAGTTCCAGATGTGAACTGTTGTGCCCAGTTCTCCTTTTAGTTTCCTTTCTTACTCTTGGGCTTGGGTGGCTGAACACATTCTCTTCCATTTGTTTTAATTATGACTCACAAGTTTATTTTACTGACATGTATAAAGAATGGCTTTGAGGGTACTATAACTTCATTTATTTTTTAAAATTTTAACCTTTATTTTTATTTTGTGTCTGATTATTTTGCCTTCATCTATGTCTGTGGACCACATGTGTGCTGTGACTGTGGACTACATGTATGCTGTGACTGTGGACCACATGTGTGCTGTGACTGTGGACCACATGTGTGCTGTGCCTGTGGACCACACGTGTGCTGTGCTTGTGGACCACATGTGTGCTGTGCCTGTGGACCACATGTGTGCTGTGCCTGTGGACCACATGTGTGTGCTGTGACTGTGGAATACATGTGTGCTGTGCCTGTGGACCACATGTGTGTGCTGTGACTGTGAACCACATGTGTGCAGTGCCTGTGGACCACATGTGTGTGCTGTGACTGTGGACCACATGTGTGTGCTGTGACTGTGGACCACATGTGTGTGCTGTGACTGTGGACCACATGTGTGTGCTGTGACTGTGGAACACATGTGTGCTGTGCCTGTGGAGGCCTGAATAGAACATCAGATCTCCTGTGACTGGTGTTACAAATGATTGTGAGCCACTATATGGTTGCTGGGACTTGAACTTGAGTCCTCTGGAAGACCAGCCAGGGTCCTCTCTTTAGCACCCTATTTAATTTATTATTAGAGCTTGTCAATTTCTTATTCCTGTTTATTTTACTTTGTTACTCTTTTCAAATTTTATGAAATGAAGAAAACTCTACTTTTATGTATTAAAATTCTGTAAATACAAAAAATCCCATAATCAGATAATTATTTCAGCAATTACTAGAATATACAAATATAAAATTGAATGATTAGAGCTGAAATTTCACCCTAGGTATAAAAAAGCAAAATATATACATCATTATTTTCAGCCTCCTAATATTTGTGATATATGGGTGATCTTAAAATAGTAGTTGTTTTTTCTTTTTCTTTTTTTTTACCTGCATGTATGTCTGTGTACCGCATGCATGCATTGCCTGCAGAAGTCAGAGGGTGTCTGATACCCTGGAACTGGAGTTAAGATTGGGGATAGTTATGAGTTGCCGTGTGCATAGTGGGGCCAAACCTGGATCCTCTGCAAGAGCAAGTGCTCTTAACCACTCACTGAGCTATAACTCCAGCCCTGGAATTTCCTTTCTAGACAGGAAATTACTGATCCTGAGATTGGTCCTATCTAAATAAATACAGAGTTGAGAATGCTCCTGGTTGCCTAATTCTGAAGCTCCTTGCGTCCTTCCATTGAGGAGAAAAAGTTGATCAAAGACGCCCGGGCAGTGGCTGGGAAGCCCTTTGTGTACCGCTGCCCTGGGAGCAGCTTCCTCTAGCTGTGGAGAAGGATTGGCTGGGTCAGCCACAGAGTGGCTAAGTTTCTCCAGGTCTCAGTGAGCTGCTTGGATGCCCTCCTGAGTCTTCATCCAGAATTCAGACCTTCCTCTGCATTTCCTAAACTATCATAGTATGCAAGAAAACAGTAAGTAGATGTAACTAGCCTTTGACGCAAAACAAGTAAACATTTTAATAGCTTATATGTACATATTGCATAATTGTATTTATAAGCTTATTTTCAGTATTGATATTAACTGATGATTTGAATGATTATCAATATGCAGCTATTCAAAAAATGTGAGAAAGCTGGGAGCAATGTTGAGTGTTATTCTATGTGAATGGTTCTCAAAGCTTGGGAGTCTAGGGATTTCAAAAAGAAATGTCTAAGCTCCAATCATTTAGTTTTCTAGGCCTTGAATCCCAAATGTTTGGAGCTTCAAAAGCGAGGGATTGCCGAAGTCAAGCATTTTGTGCTAAGGTATTGCCCTTCTGCCCTTCTGTTGTCCCGTCAGCCACAATGCAGCTTGGGATGGTCAACTCACAGGACTGGAAGGATCGAGGTGGATAATAGAGCGTCACACACAGCTTTCCCACAACTTGCTGTGTGAGATTAGAGTCTATCCTACAAAGCTTTGAGAAAGAAGAGTGTATACACACACACATACACACACACACACACACACACACACACACACACACACATACACACACACACCTGCCCTGGAAACTTCCTACAGTGTTTAATTAAACAGCCTGAGAAATCTCTAAGCCTCTTTTTAAAGCTTGTAATTTTTAAATTTTTGTAATTTAAATATGTTTCATTTTACATTCTGAGGTGGTGCATTAATGTACCAGGTAGCAAATCTCTACTATGAAACGACATGGCTCCAGATATGCAGGGTTGGCTCTGCTTCAACTGCAAGATCAATGCAGCAAACAGTCCAGATTCCAGTCCCAGTCCACATAGGGTCATCATGTGATTTGTTACATCACTCAGCAGTGGGGCATGATACTTTAATCAATATGCGATTGGAATAATTGGAAGAACTTATTATTTTTACTGTCTCTTCTACTTTTATAGCAAAATTAACTCAGAATAAGCTAAAGAATTGAATGTGAAATAATGAAATCATAAAACAAATATAAGAAAGTAGAAGTAAATGTTTAATAGCTCTTTAAAAAAAAGAAAATTGGATGTGAGGCAAAGAGGAAGGCACAAGGGAAAGATGACATTTCACTAAATTTAAACAACGAAACTCAAAGTCCCTTTCCAGATAAAACATGCCACAGACCACAATTAAAACTTTAAAAATATCTTTTTAAAAACCAAACACACCATACTTTCACCAACGGGAGAAACATTGGATTGTGGCCTCTACTGTTAAAAAAAATATGCCGATATTAGTAAGCAGAAATTCCTCAGTGGGAATATGACCAAAGAATACAAGAAGCAACTGAGAACACAGAGTGAAAATTGCCAAAAGAGCAGGAAAACATATTCAACTTCAGTGATGAAGATGGCTGTTTATTTACCATTAGCAAATCTAACAAATACTAATATTCAATTGGGAGGGTAATAAATAAGACCATTAGTCTATTGGTGGGAATTTATGAGATTCTTTTAAGGATTTATTTATTTATTTATTTATTTATTTATTTATTTATTTATTTATTTGTGTGTGTGTGTGTGTGTGTGTGTGTGTGTGTGTGTGTGTGTGTGTGTGTGTGTGTGTGCCTCATGGTTCACAGCCCTTGGAGACCAGAAAAGGGCATCAGATCCCCTGGAGTTGCAGTTATAGGAGGTTGTGAGATGCCCAATGTGGGTGCTGGGAACTGAATGCTGGTCCTTTGGACGAGCAGCAAGTGCTCATAACCTCTGATCCATCTCTCCAGCCCGAATGTCAAATGTTGGAGAGTAATGAAAGGGATTAGCACTTCCCAGTGAGGTCCTCGAAGACACCCATTCAGTTTATTCCCACGTTCTAAAGGGATGCCAGTGAAAGTCTGTGAGCAAGTCACAGCGCCATTGATGATTTTGAAACAGACTCAATTTTGAAGAACAGGAGTGATTAAATAAATTTTACACCTCTTTAATGCAGCCATTGAAAGTCTTTTAAAATATATTTTAATTAATTTATTGATATTAATAATTTATATCTAAAATGTTCTGGGGGAACAAAGAGTTCACAAAAACCATGTCACCTAGCTCAAATGAAAAGGCCTTCCCAACGTATGAGTCCAAACATGTGGAAAACACGTGTCGTGTGTGAGGTCATTCAGCGGGGGTTTCTTTTACTCCCTAGAGTGTGGACTGCACTGACAAGACGCATTCGCGGTACACATCGATTAACAAACTGGAATACGAGAATGAAAGGCTCCGAAGTGATCTTGCAAAGCTGCATGTCAATGGAAAAGCAGCATGGTCTAATCAGAGTAGCTATGATGAAGCAGGAGCATATGCCTACCAGAGCCAGCTGAAGATGGAGACCAGTGGAGACAGGTATGCTGGCTTGACCATCAGGAACAGACATTTAAAAATGCCTTGGGGGAAATTCATAAGTAATATAAAATGATGGCTTCTTCAGGTGTTTAATTTATCTGGTAGTGATAACACAGGAGTCGGGGCACACTATTTCATAAGAAGTACACACTGGCAATAGCTGTCCAACTCTAACGGTGAGCTGGGCAGCGAGTTCCCAGGGTGTTTTGTTGGCTAGTTGCTTCCGAACACTCGCGCAAGAAGACATGCTGCACAAATAAACCAGCAGTCTTTCTAATGTTCTGAGACTAGCGAAAACTAGATCT